CTGATAAATCAAAGTCTGTAATAACTGTAAAGTCTAAATGTTTATGTTCACTCTCTGCCATAATACGAGGAGGAGGATTCCAGGGGAAAAAACTGAGGAGCTGAAACTCTCTTGTCAAAACAGTTATAAATTAGCTTCTGGGGCCACTTTGTTCCCTGTGAAAATAGGGAACCGTCCTTTACTTTTTCCTAAGTTCTGAGGGTATTTGGTGCCAGTGAGAGAAATACCTGTTGATATTTACAGCAAACGTGGGGGAAAGACATTAGGACCCAGAATTTGTCTGGATAGCATGTGCTACACTTTCTGGAGGGTTACAGGTCTTCTCAACTTCAGATCCTTCCAGAGGAGTTTTATGAATAACTCTCCTTTTTGGAGAATTTCTGTCTCTCTGGTTCATTACAAGAAATTAGATCAATAATTCTGAAAGAAACCCCTAATCCAAACTAATGTATAGTTAATTATTTTCTACTTAATCAAGTTCCAACCCCAGGCACCACATAACCTGTCAGGTGAGTCAAGCTCTTGTTTGCCCTCATCTTGAACCAAAAAATTATCCTGATCACAATTGCATAAATTAATCTATCCTTACCCAATTCAGAGGGGTCTTTTATCTATCTCTGTCCACTGGTTCCAAAACACTCATCTCCAGACTCTAGACACATTATCATCTCTTGGAAGGGGAAAGGCACAGTGTATAGAAGCATGGCGTGGTGATAGGGAGCTAATTGTTAAGAATATACAGGGTGTTTAAATGCATGCACGAACTTTGGGTTAGAGTCCCAGTCCTGTCCTCCACTTACTGTGTTAGCTTGGGCAAATGAGCCCTCTAATGCTGTCTCCTGTTAAGTAAAATGGGACTAATAAAGCTATACCTTCCAAAAGGTGGCTTTGAAATTAACTGAGATTATAAAATAACGAACGTACAACACGTGGCACAGCACCCGGCTGACACAATATTCACCTTTAGCTATCATCATTAGCTTCGTGATCCCGTGCAAGTCATATAACCTATTTGGGTTCGATTTTGTCAACTGTGAAAACCTATAATAGCAACTATCTTGCTCTCCTTCAGATTTGTAAAGATTCAGAGACTCAACCACGCTGACGTACATCAAAGTGCAAGACCCAGAGCTACACGCAGACCCAGAGCTGGGGGGGGGGGGGGAGTGGGGCGGCTCGTGGGCGTGGCTTGAGCTGGGGTTTGCATACAGCGATTGGAATTGTTGGAGGAGAGGACTCGTCACGTCCCCTCTGGGTCCCGCCCTAGATCTCACTGCGCCTGCGCACGTTCTGTTTGCTTCACCGCGGACCTACGTAGTGACCTTGCGACGTGTGTTGCGCCGTGGGCGCCGGTGCGTCAGCCGAAGTCGCTGCGGCTGCGTGGTGCGTTGTCCAGGCAACCGCGGGAGTTGTCGTTGTCTAGTGGCATCCGAGAGACAGGTGTTCGTCATGCAGTTGAAGCACCTGAGGACCCTGCTGAGCCCTCAGGTGAGGAGTCGCGTGCTTCTGCCCTTCCCCTCCCGCCTTAACATTCCAAGAAAAGCGGGGGAACTAAAGTGTGTGCTACTGAGCGCCTACTGCGTGCAGAAGGCTGAAGGGCATCGCGATTAATCGGACCCTGGTCGGTGGAGAGTGTTCAGTAGTCGCGATGGACCGACCTCTAGCCACTGTAGCTTTCATTACATTGCTTTTAACATCAGTTGTGTACCAAGCTCCGCGCTGGGACTTTGAGGGGTTCAGCACTACCTCCTTTATTGCCCCTGCCTTCAGGAGCTTCGTACTAGGGGGAGAACGCAAAAGTACACAAAGAACAAAAATCTACTCTAGGCTAGTTAAGTGCTTAGGGTGAGAGCCCCAAAGGGGGAGCGCAGAAGACCGCTCCGTTTTTTCTGAAGGTGAAGAGTTGATTCAGAAGAAGCTGGGTACTGGGGAAGGAACCCTAAAACGTGATGGAGAAATGCATAATTTGGGAGTTAGGAGACCAGAATTCAAGTCCTAGCGACATCAGTACTTTAAATAAATGGCCTGATACCGTTGACTCTAACCCTAATCTCAGTCTCTTAAGAGCACTCACCAAACTTCCTCATTTGGAAAATGGGAGTAATAATAACTCCTTTAGTGAACTTGGGGGAAAAGGGTAAGTGAATAATATACATAAGAGAATACTGTAAACGGAAAAGCAGTGTGTAAACTCATAGACAAGTGAGAAGGAATGTCAAAATCCAAAATACAAAGCTAATAAAAATGGTATCTTCTGTAATTAAGGGTTTAATATGTACCAGGTAGTAGAAGACGTGTGGATTGTGGTTTATGGCGTCAGTATTTGAGGGAACAAGAAGACCATGGAAGGGAGACATTAGTATAGTTGATTTAGCTTGTCACTTCTTAGTGCATTTACATTGTGGGTTTCTAGAGGTATCTTTCTCATAGTCCAGGGTTTTTGGTTGTTTTTTGTTTTTTTTTTAAAGATTTATTTATTTATTCACACAGAACTGGGGTACAGGCCAGAGATGTGGAGGGTGAGAGGATTCACTAGAGACAGAGCGGGGAGCAGAATAGGCAGATCTACGAAGTACACTGCTGAGGGGAGCAGCGGGCGGGTCAGGAGAGGTCTGCCACACCATGTGGATCTCCTCCTGGGCAGGCGGGAATCAAACTCATGCAGAAGTGGCTTAAGCTTCTTAGTGCTGTGCTTTAACCCGCTGCACCACCAGGGAAGGCCATTTTTTTTTTAAGATTTATTTATTTATGCATACAGAACAGGGTATAGGCCAGAGGTGCGGGGGTGGTGAGAGGCTTCACCTGAGACTGAGTGGGGCGCAGAACAGGCCGACTGATGAAGTACACTGCTGAGGGGAGCAGCAGGCGGGTCAGGAGAGGTCTGCTGCGCCATATGGGTCATCTCTGGGGTGGGGATCGAACTCATGCTGAAGGTAACTTTAGCCCTTAGTGCTGTGCTTTAACCTGCTGCGCCACCAGGGAGGGCCCAGTCCAGGGTTTTAAGGTCATGAAAACCAAGATAGATCTTCTGTGATAAGAGGAAAATCCATTACAGCTACACTGGAAGTAATGGAAATAGAAATGCTTCGGGCACCTGGGTTTATTTTCACCCCCATTGCCTCTGCAGGCTGGAGCTGCAAAGGTGACCTGCATGGCATGGTCGCAGAACAATGCCAGATTTGCTGTCTGCACAGTGGATCGAGTTGTGTTGCTGTATGATGAACATGGGGAGCGGAGAGATAAATTCTCCACCAAACCAGCTGACATGAAGGTGAAGCGAACACCCTCTGCGCCGTACATGTACGGTAACCTGTTGACAGTAGTTTCCTGACCTAGAGAACTACCTCATCACTTCCTAGCCACAGCACAGAAAACAGCCTGCCCCCCTTTTTCTCAGTACAAGTCTCTGCAGTCTGTTACGAGCACACATGTGCCTTGTCTCCTCTTTTATCTTCCATGTATACTGATCACTTTTTTACCTTATTCATTTTTAACTCTTAGTATGGCAGGAAGAGCTATATGGTGAAGGGCATGGCTTTTTCTCCTGATTCCACAAAGATCGCCATAGGACAGACTGACAACATCATCTATGTCTACAAAATTGGAGAAGATTGGTAAGGGTAGAGATTGGGAGATGGGGTGGCCCAGAAAAGAAAGGGAAGGCAGGAAGAAATGCCTCAGTGGAGAGGACGAGGAGCCAAAGGGGGAGCCTAGAGGACAGAGGCCTTATGGAGTCCCCTGAGGCGTCCTGACCTTTGCCCTTGCGTTCTGTGACCCCAGAGGTGTCACTCTACAGTCAACATAGTGACACTGAAACCTTGCAGAAAGCGGAGTGATTTGCTTCCACATGACTGTTCCAAAGCTACTCAGACTCCCCCTGCCTTTTTTTTAAGATTTATTTACTTATGCATACAGAACTGGGGTACAGGCCAGAGGCTCAGGGGCGGTGAGAGGCTTCACCAGAGACAGAGTGGGGAGCAGAACAGGCCGACTGACGAAGTACACTGCTGAGAGGAGCAGCGGCTAGTCAGGAGAGGTCTGGCTCGCCATGTGGTCACCTCCGGGGCGGAGATGGAACTCATGCGGAAGTGGCTTTAGCTTCTTAGTGCTGGGCTTTAACCCGCTGCTCCATCAGGGAGGGCCCCAGACTTCCTTTCATGCCTCCTTTCTAGGCTCCTGGACAGTAGTAGGAAACACCAGTGGGCCAGGGGAGGTGTCAGCTCTTTCTAACCTTGCCGCAGCCTTCGTTAGCGATCTGTTTATGGAAATGATCTTTAATATGTTTCCTCCTTTTATTTGGCAGGGGTGACAAGAAAGTTATCTGTAACAAGTTCATCCAGATGGTAAGGACAAACCAGATTAGGCGGAACAAACAGGTCGCAATATATTTGCTTATAAATGCAGTCAGGAGTGTGCCACATGCCTGCTGCCTCCCGCTGCTCATCCTCACCTGCTTTCCTCCTCAGAGTCCAGGTGTCCCCTTCGCTCCTTCCTGATAGGCTGATGGGGGCCACTGGGTGTTCAGACTGTTCTGATTCGGGCTGTTACGATGTGCTCACCTACACACAGGGTTAGGCTTTTCGTTATTTCTCTTACAGAGTGCTGTTACTTGTCTTCAGTGGCCAGCAGAATACATCATTGTCTTTGGACTAGCTGAAGGGAAGGTAAAGAGCAAAGAAACACCAGGGAGATTATGGATGGGGATAACAGTTGTAGAGAAGGGATCAGGTGCTGGAGAGCAACATATTGGGACCAGTTTTTTGTTTCCTCTTTCATTAGAACCTAGTGAAATTCAAAGTGGACTAACCAGGCTTGTGTCCATTCTTCCATTTCTAGGTTCGTTTAGCAAACACTAAAACTAATAAGTCATCTACCATCTATGGGACAGATTCTTATGTGGTGTCACTGACAACAAAGTGAGTAAGGATACGTGATATTCCTAGAGCTTAGAGATCATAGGGAAAAGCCCCAGGGAAGTCGGGGCTGGGAGAGAGTACCATTCGAATGCAAGATGGGAGCAAGCACCGGTGGCATCAAGCACATCGGTGGGGTCATGTTTGTCAGAGGTAGGAGACTTTGTTGGTGAGCCAGAATGACCTCTTTCTGTGTTTCTTTCCTTTTACTCCATTGTAGCTGCTCGGGGAAAGGAATTCTCTCTGGTCATGCTGATGGCACCATTGTTCGGTATTTCTTTGATGATGAAGGCTCTGGAGAGTCACAGGTATGAATAAAGATGCTCTGAGATGGGGGATGTGGAAACCCATGAGTCCTCCTAGAGGGAAGCTGGATGTCTAAAGGATTAGACTGAGGGTGCTGGGGGAGGAGGCTAGAGGAATGAGAGCTCAGGGTAAGAGACATTTGGATGCAGTCACAGAAAGGGTTTATGTTTAGGAGGCGTTGACTGACTTTTATGGGAAAGATGACTCAAGTGGAAGGGACCTTGAGACAAAGGAAGACTCTGGGAGTAAGAAAAAGTGAAAGTTACTCTCATTCCTCTAAAAATCTTATTTTTGTATATAAATTCATAGGAGGAAAAAACTGTTATTTACTATCCAGAGGAGAAAAGGAAAAGACAGGGCTAAAAGAAGTGTTTTATGTCATGTCTTACTCTGTATTATTTCCTATTGTTTGAATGATTTATATTTAGAATGACTGTGTAATACTTAACTAAATGTATCCCTCCAGTAAAGACCTGTGTATTCTCTGTGGGCCTAGACAGTGTTGACGAATGTTTAATCAGTGTTGACATTTCCCTTTGGGGAGGCCTTACTGGGTGCACATTAAAGCTCTCCAATACACAAGTAGTTTGAGGTTTCCTCTCCAGCCCAGGATCACTGTGTGTGACTGTGGCATATACGTGTGGGTCTGAGACAGAAGACTGTGACGTCTTCAGGATGAGGGTGAGACAGATGTTGGGAAATCTTGGAAGATTTCTGCGGAAAAGGGTAGTCTGAGTGTGTGTATTAGGTGGTATGAATGAGAAATTCCTGGGGTGGAATCCTCAGAGTGATTGAAACCTTCTAATTCTGTCTTAGGGGAAGCTGGTTAACCACCCATGTCCACCCTACGCCTTGGCTTGGGCAACCAACAGCATCGTAGCTGCAGGCTGTGATCGCAGGATTGTAGCCTACGGGAAAGAGGGCCAAGTGCTGCAGACTTTTGATTATAGCCGTGACCCTCAGGAGCGGGAGTTCACCACGGCCGCAGCAAGTCCTGGGGGCCAGTCTGTTGTACTGGGCAGTTTTGATCGGTGGGTCTCCTTTACACTTGTATCTTCTTCCTGCTTGCCCTGTGTGCACACTTTGTTTAGCTCAGTTATTTCAGCCAGAGTGGGAGTCTGGGCCAGAATGCAGTGTATATTGAAAAAGATGCATTTATTTATTTGTTTGCTTGTTTGTTTATGAATGATGCTCAGGTTTCAAATCACGCACATTCCCCTTCCTGTTCTTCCTGTCCAAAGGCAGTTACATATAGCACCCTGCTCTCGTGTACCTTCCTTCCCTGGGGTTCCTGAGCAGAAGTCGCCTCCACTTTCTTTGTGTTCCCATCACCCCCTTTCAGGCCACTGACTTAGAGTTTATCACATTATACTATAGATTTGGTCTCTCTGGCTAAATTGATGAGTCCTCACGAAGAGGGCCTGTTATTCATTTCTTCATCTGCAGTGTTAGATTGTGCTCACATGTTCGGTGAAGGAAGGAAGAGTAAACAGCTAGGGCCTGAGTCCTGTCAATTCCTTAGAGCTCTTTTACCTCAGCTTTGACAGCTTCGTCTTTCTCTCTTTTTCAGACTTTATATGTGTCTTTTTCTGTTCCTTTCTTCCCAGACTCCTCCAGTTTCTCTGTTCTTTTCCTGTATGTCTCCACTGCTGACAGCCCATTTTTCTCACCAGCCAGGAGCTCCTTTAGTTTTCTCCACTCAGCATTCTTATTCCTTTTCCCTTTCCCCGCCTTAGTTCCTTTAAACGTTTTTGTTTTTTTGTTTTTTCCTACTCAGTGCCTCAGCTTGTCTGTTCTTTTTTATTTCCTTTCTTCTCTGACACAATAAGAATAAGTTCCTTTAGTTACCAGACCATTATTTCTTTCACTCAGCCACATACTTATTTATCTAAAAGCCACATATTTTATTTCAGACTTCGGGTGCTCAACTGGAGCCCTCGAAGGAGCATCTGGGAGGAGGCAAAGCCCAAGGAGATTGCAAATTTGTACACTGTCACTGCCTTGGCTTGGAAGCGAGACGGTTCACGACTCTGTGCGGTGTGTTCTAGTAACCCCTTTCTGCATTGGGACTTTCTTCCAAGTAGGATAAGTCCTGACTTACCCAAGTCAGCATTCTCGCCTGACTCTTCTCTTTCCTTTTGACCCTAACCTAAAAATCTGATATTAAAGGCAGGCTAGAACAACTCACCTGTTATCAGAGGCCAAAAAGACAAAGAATTATCTGAAACCCACCAAACCTTTCACTACCAACTCTCTAGATTCTAGAGCCCAGGTTTTGAGGATGTCTCTAGTTACCTATGCGTTACCTTTTATGCTGTCATTTTCTCTGCTAGGGCACACTCTGTGGTGGAGTAGAACAGTTTGATTGCTGCCTCCGAAGGAGCATTTACAAGAACAAGTTTGAGTTGACGTATGTGGGACCCAGCCAGGTAGGCAGCTGACAGCCTGCTGCATTCAGATCTTGCTATAGCTCTTTCATCCTTGTAACTATTTCTCAATCTCTGGCCATGACCACAGTGCTAAATTACCCCTTCGGTGAATATGTCAGGCCAAAGTCTTGGCGTTTGTTTGCCATAGCTTTAAGAAAATGTTTAAACACCAAGCCTAAGGGACACAAAAATTGCCACTTACTTCTTCTTGCCTATACGCCTTCATGCCTCGTTGGGCAAAGGGCACAGCATCTTTGCCTCCCTTTTGGGTTGGGGGAAGCCTGGGGAGCTCAGACTTGTCCCTTGCCAAGGTGATCGTGAAGAACCTATCATCAGGGACCCGAGTGGTACTCAAGTCACACTATGGCTATGAGGTGGAAGAGGTGAAAATCCTGGGGAAGGAGCGTTACCTGGTGGCCCACACGTCAGACACACTGCTGCTGGGAGACCTGAATACCAATCGTCTGAGTGAGGTAAGACACGAACATGAAAGGGTGAGGAATGGAGCATCTTCAGCTGCTACCTCAGGGGAGCCAGGGCCTGTAGGGGGATGAGGTCCAGTGTTCTGATGTTGGGGACCTGGTTTCAAAGAATGAGACCCAAGTGGCTTGGACCTCTGGAATATGAATCACCACTGCTGGACTGTTATTACACCATCATTCAGAAACAGGGACGAGGACAAAATCTGACGAAGTTCCTGTGTGCATTGACAGAGCCTCCCCAATCCTGATCTCTACGCCTGCCATTCTTTCAGTTTTTCTTGGATGATTATTCATTCTCCTCTCTCTCCTCCCTTCACAGGTAGCTTGGCAGGGATCTGGTGGCAATGAGAAGTATTTTTTTGAAAATGAAAATGTGAGTAGATCTTGATTCACCGTCACCATCTTAACAAACCTCCTCCTAGCTCCTGGGTGCAAAGGATGGCAAGTGGCAAGGAGTTGAAGAGACACTAGATTTAAAAAGTCCAGGAGGGTGAAGTAGGCAGAGGACACAAAAAGGAGGAAAGCAGTAGCCACTTCAGGTGACAGTACACCTCCGCGACTGGTTTTCTTTGTGTACCTTCCACCACGTAACGGTGCCACTCGTTGCCAGGTGTGCATGATCTTCAATGCGGGAGAGCTGACCCTGGTGGAGTATGGGAGTAATGATACCCTGGGTTCTGTACGCACTGAATTCATGAACCCTCACCTCATCAGGTAACCCGACAAGGTTCTCTAAATCTTTAAAACCTGAAAGAATTTCTCCTCTTTGTCCTCAGACTAATCCAAAAACTTCACCTAAATGGTGCTTTAGAACCCTCGGTAAATACCCCAGCTCACTAAGCCCATTTTGCCTTATCTCACGCTTCATGTTTCAGCGTCCGTATTAACGAGAGGCGTCAGCGAGGAATGGAAGATAATAAGAAATTGGCTTATCTTGTTGATATTAAGACGATTGCTATAGGTGAGTAAGAGCCTATCATGTTTAATAACAGAATAGATATCAATAATGCACTTTCCTATCACAGGATTGTGTTCAGTGGCGAATCCAGGAATTTGAGAGACACCAGGTAAATGGCTGACACAGCTCTTACATTAAATTTGTGAAATGTTTAAATCTATTTATATGTGTCTGTATCTAAATGTCTCACTGTAGATGCACAGATAGGCCTGCCCATGATTATTTACATTCTATAGGCATTTTTCTTAGGGCTGGAAAATTATGAATTGTAGAAAATAACCATTAGCAAATTTATAAATTTTCTTTAGATTTTGTAGGATCTGTACAGGCCTACAAATTGGAACAGGCCTTTTTGTTGTATAGTTTGTTATCAGTACCTAGTGGTGGCAAACCTTATTTGCATTATGCAAATCGTCTTATTTAGACATCTTATATACATTTATCATAAAATATCTTAAGCATAGGAGTAAGTATAGAGAAATAGTATAGAATTTCTTAAAACATAAAGAATAAAATACCTATAAAGTGCACTTGTTAAGAATAGGACTCTGGAGTCAAACTTCCCCACCTTTTACTACCTATGTGATCTTAATTCAGGTAAGTTATTTTACCTTTCTGTATGTCAATTTCCTCTTTCACAAGCTGGGAATAAAAATAGTTACTAAATAAGCACTTAATAAAAGTTAATATTAATAGAAATAGTAATCATTAAATAATAATTTTAAAATTAAATAATAATAATAATAATAAAAAGACATGCATACCTTGTACTATCAAATCCTAACATTTCATTCTATTTGCCTTTGATAGTTCTCTCTAATCTTATTGATGGCATTTAAGTTGTTGGTTTTTCACTGTTGCACGTTTCAGTTCTTTAAGGTTTAAAACCAGAGTGGAATTGCTGAATCAAAGAAGAGTTTCACTAAGTACCTCCAAATAGCTCTCCATGGAGACTGTACAGTTTACTGTCCTGGCAGTTAGCGTCCCCATCCGGCCACATCCTCCTAGCGCTTGAAATTGCTTGACTTTGGAGTTTGTCTCACTGTGAAATACCTTCTCATTGCATTAAGTTTTGTTGCTCACTTGTTTACTGGCCTTTTGGATTTCTTCTGTGACCTGCCAGTTCGTATACTTGCCTGTCTCTAACATTCGGCTCTCTCCCTCACTGGCTTGAAAGGGTTCTGTTGTTCGCATTGCAGAAATGTCATCAGCGTATGGCATATCTTTACTCCTGTCTTTGGCACCTCTGGGGTTTGGATTTTTAGAAATGCAATGTCCCTTTTTTATCACTTTTTAAGGAAATACCTTGTAGTTTTTGAGATCTTATTTAAGAATCCTTTCTTAAAGGGGTATACTCCTTCCTATACTTTAACATTTAAATTTTGCTTTTCACCCGGAATTTATCTCTGTGCATATTGTGCCTAGGGATCTAATTATATTTTTGCCATACTGTCAGACATTTAATCATTTGTTGAAAGTTCATTCTTTATCCACTAATTTGTAATGTCATCTCTCATAAATGAAGTTCCATATACATGAATCTGTTCTTAAGGTATTTTTATATTTCAAGAGTTTATATTTCACGTCAACCTACTAAGCACAGAAATGTAATGGAAATAATCTATATTAAATGGAAATAATAGCATAGTCCAGTGGCCCAAGTTCTAGCAGCAGTAATAAGTTGTAAGACTTTGGGCAAGTCACTTCACTCTATAGGTCTCACCTTCAGTGAATATAAAATGACAGAGTTATTTTAATGTCTTTGTGTCACCAACCTCTTTGAGTGCCTAATGAAAATCATGACTTCTCTACCAGAACAATAGGTACATATGCATTATTTTGTATATAACTTCAAGGTATTCAAAGGAAGGGGTCTCCACAGTTCTAGCTCTCTCTGATTCAGCTTTATGATTTTGCTTTTGTAATTGAAATTAAAGTCATGTATAAGTCAGCCTACCTAGTCATGGACATTATCTGGCATTTGGTCTTTAGTCTCCACAAATATAACAAAAGTAGGCAAATTGCTTATGAATAATATATAACAGTAAGAGTTGTGAAGGGAAGTTGTAATGAATTTGAGAAGCTCCCTGAAAGATCCTAGCCAACTGTGAGTGGTCTGTACTAATTGTGATTAATTCGTGTTTAGTCTCCAATATTCAGACTGAATTAAAATATTCACCCTCCGCACTGACCAGCCTAGGGGTAGGCTAAGGTTCCTCCTGTTTCTCCCTAGGCCTTCACCGCTGTTCGCTGCAGTGTTCTTAGATTGTAGGCACTCAAATGTGCAGGAGCAAGTATAAGCAGCAGAGTCATTATCAGCTTTCTCTTACTAGTGTGCTATAATTGGGGCTCATCATGAATGTGCTTAGTGCTGCCTTCCAGAAGATACTGTAATAGAAACTAGTTGCTCCGTAGTTCTGACCTGACTAAGACAAACCAAAAGTTCTAGAGAGGAATAACATTACTTGATGGGTCTGGATCTTTTGAGTTAACTGGTGACTTAAACAAAACCTCTTCAACTGTAAAAAAAAATCCAGCATGTTAAGCATCTTAGCAAACTTACATTCCTCAGTGACATAATTTAGCATGCAACATTCTTAACGTCCAACATATGCTTATAAGACCAGATGTTTGCAAGCTGTCTCCTGCCCTGTATATGATTAGGCCAGACCTCTCTCCTTAATTCTGTCTTCTTGTCTTCTTTACTCTATAGTGGATCTGATTGGAGGCTACAACATTGGCACCATCAGCCACGAGAGCCGTGTGGATTGGCTGGAACTTAATGAGACTGGGCACAAGCTCCTCTTCAGGGATCGGAAACTGCGTGTGAGGAGGGCTGCTAGGCCTTAGCTATTGGGGTGCCGTGGTCCACGGAGAGGGTGGGACTAGCTGCCACCAGGGGTGGGAGGTGGGGTGTAACATAAGGGCTAGGTGCTGTGCCATTAGCACTGCAAACAACACAGAGGAATCAGCATTCCTTGTACCTGATACCACAGCCCGTTGACATCACCCTGAAGGAGAGCGCATCAGGATGGTGCCACTAGAAACAAGAGGGGATAGGAGTTGGTTTCCTGCTGCATATTCACCACTCTGTGCCCCGATGACCAACTTCCCTGCTTCTGTTTTCTCCTCATTCCTGAGTGGCCTTCCAAATCCCCACTGCTCCAGTGCTCTTCGGCTACATTTACTGACAGCATTGACGCTAGCTCGAGGGCCCAGAACCATCCCCCTAGCTCTGTACTGATTCTGATCGAGTGTGGTATCCCCAGAGAGGTCAGCCCAGGGGCAATGAAAAATGGTAATTTTTCACTGTAGTGTGAAAGCCACACCACAGATTTCCAGACTACTTACTTTGCCTGGTGGCAACTGGTCCAGAACTCCTGTAAGGATGAAAGTCTGACCTTAACCTAACTTAAATTCCTACAGTGGAGCACTTTGTTCTTTTGGCCATCTCTTATTTATCCAAAGTGTGTATGTACCCCCCAGCATAAACTTGAGGTGGCTTTGTAGTTCAGCGTGTCCCTGACTGGCAGGTTGTTTGCCATTGGGAAGATGATCAAGCTGGGATGACACCCTACCCCCTTCTAATTGTGCTGTGTACCTCTTCTTTCTTCAGCTGCATCTGTACGATATTGAAAGCTGCTCTAAGACAATGATCCTCAACTTCTGCTCCTACGTGCAGTGGGTCCCAGGAAGTGATGTGCTGGTAGCTCAGAACCGAAATAACTTGTGTGTGTGGTACAACATTGAGGCACCTGAGAGGGTCACCATGTCCTCTATCAGGGTATGTCAGCGCCAGGCCCCTCAGGCATAGTGTTGAGCTGATTAATGGGAACCCTGAGGCGCCTCCAAATGTTATTTGCTTTTTTCTACCCACTACCCCTAATCTCTGTGATGGAGTTGGCAAAGGAAGCTTAGGCTCTCTCCCCATGGTGGGCCTGGCCCCAGAATCATCCTTTTCCAGGGTTATATTAGATCCTCAGAGTCTGGGTCTCTGTCACAGCAGCCCTGGGAATATAGAGTGCCCTGAGATGAAAACTCCCACGAGAGGCCTTTCTGTAACTTCCTGGTCTGCTGAGTCTCAGCTCTGGGCCACTCACTCAGAGTTCCTTTTTCTCAGAGATCAGATGAAGCCCTCCTGCCTGCCCCAACGCCATATCAAACACGCCCTGTAATTTTCCAGAGTTTAGAACCTATGGACATTAAGAGCGGTTCCCATGGTAGGCTGGGGTGACTGGACTGGCGTGTGTGTGGATCGAGTACTTGACACTCTTCTTTGGTCCTTTTTTTAATTCCTTTTTCCCCTTCCTTTTTGCATTTTGACTGATTAATGTTGGGTCTTTGTTCTGTTCTTTATAAATACCTATTTTCCTTTTTTGGGTCTGAGGTTATATGTATTATTTCTGTATCAGTTACCCTCAGAAGCATACCATGTATTTATATTAACAAACTTGAAAGTAAATCAGCATTAACCTCACCCTCTCCTGCAGACAATAGACCTTCAAAGGCTTCGTCTTTGATTCCCTCCGCTTTGTCATTTCTGCCCAGTGTCGTTCCTTTTGCTGCCCCCCATTTGGACATGACTTCTGTAGACAAACACAATTTGTCTAGCTCTCTCATCAGGTTGCCAGCTTGCTTCCCTTGTATTCTTTTCCTCCTGCTTGAAGAGTATCATTTAGAAATTTCTTAGTGAAAAATCTTCTGATGATAAACATCCAGCTTTTGGTTATATGAAAGTGTTTTTATGTAACCTTTGTTTTTGAAAGATTTTGAGCTCAGTATGCACTGCTAGGTGGACAGTTAAATGTTCTTAGCCTTTTACAAACGCCATGCCAAGACTGACCTCCTCCGCTGACAGCAGCCCTCTCTCTGGAGAGTCTGCCTTTCTCTGTGCTTGTTTTTAACATCTTTTCCTTGGGTGTTTTTGAAGTTTTGAAGTGTCGAGATACAAATTGCCATTTATCCTGTTTTGCTGTGCTTCCTGTATTTGTGAGTGTACATATTTTCATGAATCTTGGAAAATTCTCAGCCATTATTTTTTCAAATATTGTTTCTTCTCACACATGCCCCATTCTCACCTAGGCCTGTGTTGAGACGCTTTGTCCTATTTCTTATATCTTTTTTAACCTCTGTCACATTTCCTTTGTTCTCACTCCATACTACACTCTTTAATTTCTATAGATACATCTTTTCACTTCCTTAATTCACCATCATTGTCTAATCTGCTATTTACTTGAAGTAAAGTTTTATACTTCAGGCATAAAATTTTTTTCACAAAATTGTATTTGATTATTTCTCCAGTCTGACATTTTTGAGTCTCTTGTTCCCCCCTTAATTTTTATTCCATCTTTTAGGTCTTTAAATGTTTTACAGATAATTCATATACATTCCGTAATTACTACTTTTAATATGATGTCTTTAATGTTTGAGATCCTTGTTTATTGTTGAATCCTTTACTACTTGTATTTTGGTATTTTTTTTAAATTGTGAGCTCATGTGATGGTGAATGTGGTTTTTGTTTTTTTTTTAAAGATTTATTTATGCATATAGAACTGGGGTACAGGCCAGAGGTTCAGGGGCAGTGAGAGGCTTCACCAGAGACAGAACGGGGAGCAGAACAGGCACACCGATGAAGTACAGTGCTGTGCTTCAACCTGTTGTGCCACCAGATAGGGTCCCCAGTTAATTTTTTAACTAACAAAATTTTTTTGAATTCTGACACCCTCACATAGGCATATTTCCCTACAGAGATGATCTGTGTTTGGTTCTGCAAGAATGAGGCATGTTAATGACCTGAACCATTTCTGTTCCCTTTACTGAAGAGAGGACCCAGATTTCTGAGGGACTCTGAGATCTGGTCTCCCCATCCTGCTTATGGGCCCAAGGTTTACTCTCCTGACAGTGTATTTGCCATACCACCTTAATTTTTAACCTGCTCAGACTTTAACTCTTTAACTTACTGATCGCTTCCTTCCTTCCTTCCCTCTTCCTCTCCTCTCTTTCTTTCTCTTTCCTTTTTTTCCCTCCCTCTGTTTCTGTCTTTGAGGGGGAAGTGAGAAGGGAGTAGGAAGCATTCTTAGTGGTTTCTTCAGTTGAACACTGTAATGCATTAAAAGGTATGTGCCAGGTTCAAGTTATATTTTAGCTGGAGGACCTTAAGAGGTGGAGCAGAACTGTTGGATGTGCTGATAGATGTGGGTGTTACGCTTTGTTAATGTTTGTACCTTAGCGTATTCATAGCTGTGAATGTACTTTAGCCCAAGAATAGATAAGGAATTTTTATCTGCTGAAGAGAAACTACATATTAGGGAAACAAGTGCCACTGTATATAATTCCCTGTGTGAGAATGAATGCTGGGTAAGGGTGCGTCTGTTCAGCAGGGGAGTCAGTAGAACTAATCTGCCAATTCTGGTGGGGGTGGGGGTGGAATTTCCACAGGGTGATGTTGTAGGTCTGGAGCGAGGTGGAGGAAAGACTGAGGTGATGGTGACTGAAGGTGTGACTACAGTCGCCTACACGTTGGATGAGGGCCTTATCGAGTTTGGAACAGCCATTGATGATGGCAACTACACCCGGTGAGGGGCTGGGCTAACGAGGGAGGTGGTGGGGAAAGTTGGTTCTGAGAGGAGGAACTGGGTGGGTGGTAAACTGGCCATATCTAAATAGCACCTGGCGATCCAGGCAGATGATTAGATAAAAAAAAAGCAAATAATTGCCTGGCCACTCCCCTCCTCAGAGCTACCCCATCACAGTGTCTTCTTGACCGTGGACTCATACCTTGTGTTTTACTTCTTCCCTCTCAGGGCCACAGCTTTCTTGGAGACTCTGGAAATGACCCCAGAAACAGAGGCAATGTGGAAAACCTTGAGTAAACTGGCACTAGAAGCAAGGCAGCTACACATTGCTGAAAGGTGAGGCAGACACCCAGAACTGAGGTGCGAGGTGGCTTGAAGGGGTGATGTCTAGCTGCTTAGCCTGGGGCCTGCTGTCCCCCCGTGTAAGGCACTCCTTCCCTTCCAGCCAGTGTGACAGAACCCCCCACCTGGATTATAAGACTGTGTCTTTTACTCCTTTTGCTCCCCTTCTTGTAACTAGGTGGTCGTGAAAGTTTTCAGCACCCATATCCTATAATCCACACATTAAGCATATATTCCGAGGGTGGTATAGGACCGTAGCTAATAGAATTTTGCACAGATAAACCTGGGACTCCAGGCTCTTGGAGTTCAAATCTTGGCTCCATTTGTCAGTTGGTGTCACCTCACAGAGGTTATTTAACCTTTCCAGTCTTGCCTTCTCTGTTTTGTCTGTGTAAAAATAGGGATAAATATAATATTTACCTCATGGGATGGTAAGGAAGAAACAAGTGAGAGAATCTGTACAGTTTTCAATATTGTAACTATTCAGTAAATGTCAACTGCTGCTGTTTGGGCTGGAGTCATCCTTGATCCTTTCCCCCCTAACCCACAGCTGGGCTGTCAGCAAACCGCAGGGACTCTGACCCAGGGTCTTCAGCACATATCCTGAATCTCATATTGGTCCAAATTCTACTGTCTCCATTCTGGAACAGACCAGCACCACTCCTGCACAATTAACAAATCTGCAGGATTTGTTAAATCTCATTGATACTGGCTCTTATATCCCCACAATCCATTCATTACAAAGCAGATGAGGTAATATTTTTAAAACACAAGTTACACTGTGTCATTTTTTCCCTTAGAATCTTCCAGTAACTTCCTGATGTAAGGCCTGTGCTTCCTTCTCATTGGTCTTCTGCCACAGTGGCATCCTTTTGGCCCTCTGTGCATGCCAAGCTCATTCTTGCCATAGGCCTTTACACTGTTTATTCTGCCTAGAATAATTTTCCCCCATCTTGCCATGACTGGCTCTTTCTGGTATTCACGTCACAGCTCAAACGTCAGCTTCTCGGAGAGGTTTTCGACTATCGGCTTAAATGGTCCCCTCAGTTTATATCCATAATATCACACTATTTCGGTTTTCATTCGATCATTCGATCACATTAACTTTGTTTACTAGTTTCCACTGATAAGTAGGTTCCCTGAGAGCAAGATGTTCCTCCCTCTTATGTCCTTTGTCCAGTGGCAAGAACGGTGCCATCCTCTGAACCAATGAATGAGTGATGGTCTATAATAATACTACTGTCGTTACTATGTTAACAATAATGATGATCATTGCTTCCACACTGTAGGTGCTTTTCTGCTTTGGGCCATGTAGCAAAAGCTCGATTCCTGCATGAGACCAATGAAATTGCGGATCAAGTATCTCGGGAATATGCAAGTATTATCCTGATTGATTCAGCCTCTCAAACTAAAATTTCTCTTAGTACTCAGCCCCATGATGCCTAGCTTTCCAGCCATCACTGATTTCCTCTAGCTTGTCCACCCACCTCTTCCCTGAAGCAGGAACATTTGGAATTGTTTGCTAAACCTCAAACCTCTATGCCCCATAAAGCTTTTCAGTTTCTGGAGCTTTTAGCATCTACGTCCCTCTGGCCTTCCTGTCTCAGCCCACACAGACAAAATGACTCTGCTCTGGCAATAACCAGAAACACCTTTTCCCCTGTAGGGCGGAGAAGGAACAGACTTTTACCAGGTCCGAGCACGTCTAGCCATGCTGGAGAAAAACTACAAACTGGCGGAAATGATCTTCTTGGAACAGGTAACAGGAGAAGAAGGGATCACAGGAGGCGAGGTGGAAAAGGGGGAAAGAAGGCAAACTCAGGGTCAGGAAGAGCACTGGTCGTCTGGGCTTGCAGCGGTTTGAGAACTTTTGCAAAGACTTAGACTGTTAATTTCATTTCTCCTCGGATTCCTCCTCTGTGAGTCCTCATGGTTACTTTTTTCTTTCATAAACAGTCTTATTATCAGTCTTGTATTCTAGAGCCCGTCTTATTCCTGGAGGTAAATTTAGGGGTTTTGTGGGCCCAAAACTCATCAAATTTGCGAAGCCCTCTTTAAGAAAAATTACCTTGGAAGGGACCTGTGCAAATTAAGTGCCCTGAAGCTTAAGCTTTGTTTACTTTCATAATAATTAATGAAGAAAGTAAAAGGTAACTTTTAAGCCTCATGAGCTGGCATCTCCACAGGCGGAGGAACACTTGCTGGCTTCTGATCCCACATCTTGTCCCTCTGTTCTTGTCCGCATTCCCCCAGAATGCTGTTGAGGAGGCCATGGACATGTACCAGGAGCTACACCGTTGGGATGAGTGTATCGCTGTGGCTGAAGCCAAGGTACCTCTTTGTCTTTTGCACAGTTGCTCAGAACCTGGTTCCACCAATATCAGAACTTCCTCTTTTGGGCCGCCCTGGTGGTGTGCAGGGGGTTAAGTTTTAGCACTGTGAAGCTATCCACATCCACTGTAGCATGAGTTTGATCCCTGGCCAGGGTGCTGACCCGCATGGCACAGCAGACCTCACCTGTCTTGCCTGCTGCTCCCCTCAGCGGTGTATTTCAGTCAGTCTGCCTATTCTGCTCCCCACTGTGTTCTGGTGAGTCCTCTCACCCCTTCTTCCCCCCATACTCTTGGCTTGCACCCCATCTCTTGTATGCATAAATAAATAAATCTTAAAAAAAAAAAAAGTGCCTCTTCTTGTAAGGAGGCTATAGGACATGAACACGGTTGGACCTGGGTCCTGATAGGGTGAGGACTTAAGACATGGGTGACTGAGAGGATTTCCAGTGTTGCAGTGGGATTGAAGAAGGTGGGATGTAGAGGGCAGGAAGGAAGGCTGGGACTCCCAGTTTCCCTCTGTCCAGGGACACCCAGCCCTGGAGAAGCTACGCCGGAGTTATTACCAGTGGCTGATGGACACGCAGCAAGAAGAGCGAGCCGGTGAACTACAGGAGAGCCAAGGGGATGGGCTGGCAGCCATCAGCCTCTACCTCAAAGCTGGCCTCCCTGCCAAAGCTGCCCGGCTGGTGCTGACCCGAGAGGAGCTGTTGGCCAACACCGAGCTGGTAGAACACATCACTGCAGCCCTGATCAAGGGGGAGCTGTATGAGCGGGTATGGCTGACCTCCTCTTCCCATCCCAGCTCCCAGGCTCAGTGCCCTCTCTTACCAAGAGAAGCTTTGGAGTGCGCAGCCCTCTCTGACCAGTGGCTGACAGTCCTGTTGGTCCTGCTACCTGAGTCTGCGTAGGCAGGTTCCACTGAAGTAATTCAGTATATGTCAGCAGGCGGGTGATCTGTTTGAGAAGATCCGAAACCCACAGCGGGCCCTGGAGTGCTACTGTAAAGGCAGTGCATTCATGAAAGGTAATAGCCATCCACAAGCCCGTTCTTCACTGTTGTAGACTCTTGCCCAAAGACCCACACACAGTTCTGTGCACCTGTTCCAGTTGACTGGCTTCAGTTCTCCAGTCCTCCACTTCTGACCTGGTCTCCACAACTCACTTCTCTGTCTTACCTCTCTTGAGTGGAGATGCCTGCAGGTCTGAGCTGAGTGCCCTTTCTATCTGGCAGCTGTGGAACTGGCTCGCTTGGCATTCCCTGTGGAGGTGGTGAGGCTAGAGGAAGCGTGGGGGGACCACTTGGTGCAACAGAAGCAGCTTGATGCAGCTATTAACCACTACATTGAAGCCAGGTATGGTGGGGTGGGGTGCAGAGGCGCTTGGGCCAGGAGGCAGTAGTAAGGGGCTGAGAAGAAGGTACCAAGGCCTAAGAGAAGCAGGATCTCCAATTGTAGGTTGGAGCATGCTGGAACTGTCTACCTCCATCCATCTTCACCTCTGCTCATGCTCTTCCCAACAATGCCAGGTGCTCCATTAAGGCAATTGAGGCTGCCCTGGGTGCCCGCCAGTGGAAGAAAGCAATTTATATATTAGACCTGCAGGACCGGAACACGGCGTCCAAGTACTATCCTCGCGTGGCCCAACACTACGCGTCTCTGCAGGAGTACGAGGTGAGGAGGAACCCTTTCCGCAGCCCGAGACAATGCTGGACAGGGTGACAAGAAGAAAACCCAGAACAGGAAGTGGGGGCCATCTCACCAAATCCTCCTTTCTGGGGCGCAACAGCATCTCCACCCTGAATGGGAAGAAAGATATTTACTTTCCCCCACTTCATTCCTGCTGACCCAGACCCCGCTGCCAAGTGTAGAAAGCAAGACTCGAGCTCCCTTGCCGTGCCAGCGTGAGTGTGTGTGGATACTGTCATCACGGCTGCAGTGAGGGGTGGCCTTGAGCTGCAGAAATGGGAGAGCCTTTCAGTTGTCACTGTACTGTCCTCATGCAGGTCTTTTTTGGAAAACCAGTAGGTCTGAGACACCGTATCTTCTTCCTCTGTTTGCTCATGTTGGTCTTTGTTCCAGAGGCTGCTTTAATTCCGTTGCCCTGACCTTTTGCATCTTCCTCTGCCAAACACAGATTGCCGAGGAACTCTACATTAAGGGAGATCGGACCAAAGACGCTATCGACATGTACACCCAGGCTGGCCACTGGGAGCAAGCCCACAAGGTAGGGCAGGAGGAGAGCTGGCCACGAGTCCTCCTTGCCTCTGTGGTTTTATTGCCACTTCCTTAGTCTCTACTTTTGCCCCTTTCTCCAGGGTCCCTGAAAACTGAGAAAGAACTTTCTAGGTAGCATTGATTCCTAGCCACAGGGAAAAGAGGGGTGAAGACAGGCCTGAAGAGAGGCCCTCGTACCTTAACCTGGGGCTCCTCATTCTGAGGAAAGCAGATGGGCTTGGGAGGTAGGGAATCTGAAGCCACACTCTGGAAAACTCTCGTCATGTTGGCGACATGTTCTCACTGCTGTTCCCAGGGCCCAGTGGGGATGGCAGGACTGTGGTGGTGGGAACATATGGCCCAGCACAGAGCATCTCTGAGCCTCCTGCCTTTGCAGAATGTAGTTCTTACTTTGTTCCTATGATCCTGGAATTTCCCAAATGGAGCATGGAAAGTGGCAGTGACCGACCTCATCTGCTTGCTGGCCAAGTTGAAAGCTCCTGAGAAACAGGCTCCCCAGAAGCCCCACTTCTCTCACTGCTCTGCGTATCTCTCTGCTTCCCTTGGAAATCGGCACCTGAGGCCACTCTTGCTCTGTGTCCACACAGCTGGCGATGAAGTGCATGCGGCCAGAAGATGTGTCAGTGCTGTACATCACCCAGGCCCAGGAGATGGAGAAGCAGGGCAAGTTCCGTGAAGCAGAAAGGTGAGCTGTGGCCCCAGTGGAGGTGTGGGCGGAGGGCGGGGCTGGTCTGGGGAGGTGCCCTCTCTCCAGAAGGAGTGGCAAACCTGGGCCTAGAAGCAGGACTCTAGGCCTAGCAGGCCATGTGTCTCTCTCACAGGCTCTTTGTGACTGTGGAAGAGCCTGATCTTGCCATCACCATGTTCAAGAAGCACAAGATGTATGATGATATGATCCGCCTAGTAGGGAAGCACCACCCAGATCTCCTCAGTGACACACACCTGCATGTGGGCAAGGTGAGCCCTTCTGCTCCTGCCCGTTTCCTCCCTAAGCAGGCTCCCTTGTCCCCCCCCTCCATCCTGATCCACCTTTCCCCAGGAGCTGGAGACTGAAGGCCGACTGCAGGAGGCCGAGTACCACTATCTTGAGGCCCAGGAGTGGAAGGCAACAGTGAACATGTACCGGTCCAGTGGACTCTGGGAAGAGGCCTACCGGGTAAGGCGCCCAGGCACATTGAGGTGCATTGACTCTCTTCATCACTCTCAGGGGACTGTCCGATTCTGATCTGCTCATGAAAAATGTCCACAACTATACACACAACTTCACTTTTTTTAAGATTTATTTATTCGTACAGAACTGGGGTACAGGCCAGAGATGCGGAGGGTGAGAGGATTCACCAGAGACAGAGTGGGGTGCAGAACAGGCAGATCGACGAAGTACACTGCTGAGGGGAGCAGCGGGCGAGTCAGGAGAGGTCTGCCTCGCCATGTGGATCTCCTCCGGGGCAGGCAGGGATCGAACTCATGCGGAAGTGGCTTAAGCTTCTTTGTGCAGTGCTTTAACCCACTGTGCCAACCAGAGAGGGCCCATCACATACAACTTTTAAAGGCTTGTGGACTACCTGAAATCATCCCTGACCCTAAGCAAGTTAAAGGGATCCTGAAACTTAGCTCTCTTCCTGTTGTTCAAGAACAAGTACCTGATCCTTGTCCAAACTGAGGTCAGGTTGGAGATGAGGGGGAGCAGCCATGCACCCCTGCATTGGAGGGTTGCCGAGTGGCTTTGCTTTCCAGGTAGCCAAGGCTCACGGAGGAGCGAATGCCCACAAACACGTGGCCTACCTGTGGGCAAAGAGCCTGGGCGGAGAGGCTGCGGTGAGGCTGCTTAATAAGCTGGGACTCCTGGAAGCTGCCGTTGACCATGCAGCTGACAACTGGTGAGGTCCTCAACCTCCTCTGCACTCATCCTGCTGCATCTAGGGCCGCTGACTAGAGGAGGAAAATTGATTTCTCACTCAGAGGCACTTCCAGGAGACTGGTGGGAATGAAGAAAGGATCTTTCCAAGGCGAGATCCTTGGAAGAATTTGATAGAGAGGCAGGAATGGAGTAGTAGCTCTGTTCTTGTTCCCTGGGGCTCGTAACGGTACTTAATCTTTGGCTCTCTAGTGAAGAATTTGAGCTTTTGCTTTAAGCCTTTAAAACAAAATTGCACTAAGCCAGTAACTGCCTCCTGAGCAATGGCAGCATGACTCCCCCAAATGCAAGGGGAGGATTCAGCAGGGTGGCCTGCGCCAGCACAAGCCGCTTGCAGCCCGATTGCTGCGGGCAGCCTGGTTTGTGCGAGGCTCTTCTGCTAACAGAGATGTGGCTCGGGAGGAGGTGGGGGCCTGCCTGGAGCCCTTCCTACCCTGCCAGCGGTGTTTCTCCCCTCAGTCCTTGCCCTTTCTGTATTGCCCCTCGCCCACCATTTCTCTTCTAAAAGGAAGTACTGAGTATGCAAACTTTATCTTTATCTTCCTTTTCAGCTCCTTTGAATTTGCTTTTGAACTCTCTCGACTGGCCCTGAAGCACAAAACTCCTGAGATTCACCTTAGATACGCCATGTACCTGGAGGATGAGGTATAGATGGGTCCTTCTCTGTCGTTTTTGACCCAGGCCACAGAGCCCTCTGTTCCTTTCCCTAGGCCGCTGCTCCTGGGCCTTCCTGCTGCCTGTCATGACTTCCTGTGATATAGTTTCCTTCTCATCATGTATAGCTGCCTTCTCCTCTCTACAGGGTAAATTTGAGGAGGCTGAAGCTGAGTTCATCAGGGCTGGTAAACCCAAGGAAGCAGTTCTCATGTGAGTCACCCCTAAGCCCCTAACCCTGTCTTCCCAGGCACAGCCCAGGACCTCTCGTTGTCATTTCACCTTCATCTAAGCCTAGTATCAATTAATCTTAACGTCTTGTGTCTCCTAAGCAGCATGTCTGTTTGCCTCCCACCCTTGAAACCTCAGTCCTCTCCTCAGCTCCCCTCTGTCCCCTTCTGGGAGCAGGTTTGTCCATAACCAGGATTGGGAGGCAGCTCAGCGGGTGGCTGAGGCCCATGACCCTGACAGCGTCGCCGAGGTGCTCGTGGGGCAGGCCCGGGGGGCCCTGGAGGAGAAGGACTTTCAGAAAGCAGAAGGACTACTGCTTCGAGCCCAGAGACCAGGCCTGGCCCTTAATTATTACAAGGTAGGACACAGGATTCAGGGTCCTGAGGGGACAGTAAGCGGGTTTGAGAGCCAGGAGGGGTCACCACACTGACCCCTGGTACCTAGAAAGAGGAGGTTAGCTTGGGGTGGCGGAAGGAAAGACCAGAGGAAGGACGGGAGGGCCAAACACCTGCTTCACACTTGCTGCTGCCCCCCTGACACTTGGGATCTGAGCAGGAAGCTGGGTTATGGAGCGACGCCCTCAGGATCTGCAAGGACTACGTGCCGGGCCAGCTGGAGGCGCTGCAGGAAGAGTACGAGCGGGAAGCCGCCAAGGGGGCCAGGTATGAGGCCAGGCACCACGCAGCTGGCAGGGCAGGGGTGGAGCACAAGGTGTGCCTGGGACAGGCCATGTGGTCCCTCCCTGTCTGGCCACACGCACTCTCCTCCACAGAGGCATGGAGGGGCTAGTGGAACAGGCTCGACAGTGGGAGCTGGCTGGGGAGTACAGCCGTGCAGTCGACTGTTACCTCAAAGTACGGGACTCAGGAAGCAGCAGCCTGGTGGAAAAGTGCTGGATGAAGGTGAGGCCCGCCAGGCCTTGCCGGCCCCAACACCCCAGGCCTCCATTCATACCCAGCTCCTCGGACAGTCATCTTTTTCTCCTGCGTCTTTTTGTATTGAATCAGGTGGCAGGTATCTATTGAGTGCTCACTGGGTGCTAGATCTAGTACCTCTGAAGACTGTGAAAGGAGACTAAGACATGCTGATTGGGGAAGTTAAACTAACACATGGCTCAGTGAATTAATATTGTATCTGGGTGGAGACTGAAGTGTGTGATTCGAAGTGAAGTTCAGGAAAGGGTGAGATCTCTGCACTCTCGGGTCAGGGAAGGGAGAATGTAAGCCTGGGACTAGAAAATCCACTCCTGGGCTGGGGCTAGCCATGAAGAAAGCAGAGGCCCCTCCGTTACCCAACAGCTCCTAAAAAGAAGGCTCCAGCAGATTAAGTCAAGCTCCTCTGTTCATCAGTTCTGAGACTCATATATTGTCACGCTTTAGTATCTCTGGCATTGAGATGCATGTATTGTCTAAGTGATGGACAGCAGATTGAGGAAGTACATTATTAGGCAGGACTGATAAGTTGTTTAAATAAAATGTTAGTGCGATGTTGCCCTGTAAAATCTCCCCTAGGTTTCTGAAGCCTTGAAACTAAAAAGCCCGTAGAACTTGGAGGGCAAAGAAGTGGAGAGAGGACTGATGCTTGGTTATGAGACGCTAGCAGATCTTAATTCAGGTGTTCAGGGAGCACCTGGTGTCTTCCTCAGGGCGCTCTGTACCAGGCCCTGTGCGGCCAGTCCTGCACATGTGCATTTTTCTCACATTAGTCAGAGGCTGCTTGGTGGACAAGCCTTAAAGAACTTGGCAGGTAAAGAGCAAGACAAGAGTAGGTGGGGAAGACCACAGGGGTTATCATGGACACTCCACGCTGGATGATGTGGAAATTAAAACCTGCTGAGGGTGTCAGCATCACCTAGAAATGCAGTGAGCTTTAGAACACTTGTGTTTGTAGAATTACTGAGCTCTAGAGTAAAAGGTGTGTTTAAGATCATCTAGACCAGCACTATCCAGTAGAACGCAATTCACAAAGGTACGTCACACGTGTAACTTGCGGTTTTGTAGTAACCACATTCAAAGACGTAAGAAGAATCAAGTGAGAATAATTATTTTATTTAATCCAAAACATCTAAAAAAAATTAACCCAAAATGTCTGTCATTTCAACATGTAATCAATATAAAAATTGATCAAACTATTTTACATTCCTTTTTCTGTGCAGTCTTTGGAATCCAGGTGTATTTAAGCTCCAGCACAGATCAGTGGGGACTGGCCAACAGGACAAGTCCAGAATGATCATCACTCTTGGGTGATGAAACTGAGGCTCAGAAAAGCCTATTGGGCTATAGTGCCCTGTCCTCCCATTTCAGGGCTCTTTCACTATATCCTGGGGCCAAGAAATCGGTTTATCAGAAGGATCTAAAGTAGTGGCCACAGATCACAAGGAGTGTCTGGAAGATAGCTGAGGAGCAGATAGGGCCACTGGTGGTCAGTTAAAGCCTCTGTTGGACCAAGAGATAGCTTTGCCCAGGGGGTTGGGAGGTGAGGGAGAACGCAAGGTTGGCCAGAGGGGAAAAAATGAAAAGAAGTCAGGCTGAGACCCCCCCTTAGTGGTATTTGTCTCTCCCATCCATTTTCCTGTCTCTGTTCAATCACCAGGCAGCCGAACTCTCCATCAAGTTTCTCCCTCCCCAGCGCAGTCTAGAAGTGGTTCGGGCTGTGGGACCCCAGCTGATCGGAATTGGGAAACACAGTGCAGTAAGTAGGGTGCTGGGAATGAAGCCTACACCCTGGAAGGTGTGTGGTGGGCCCCACACCGGCAAGCAGGGGGTGAAGTGCCAGACAAACAGGAGCCTGAGGTGGGGGGTGGGGCGAACTGTTTCCAATCTCTGGTTCCCCCTGCAGGCTGCGGAGCTCTATCTGAACCTGGACCTAGTCAAGGAAGCAATTGATGCTTTCATAGAGGGCGAGGAGTGGAACAAGGCAAAACGAGTGGCCAAGGAGTTAGACCCCCGGTAAGCACAAGGCCCCTTCCCTTGGGAAATTCCCTTTTACTCCCTTCTGTAAAGACTGGGAAAAAGTGCTCATGGGAAGGGTGTGGCCTCCCGGGGCCATCAAGTGTGAGATCTCTCTGCACTTCACAGGTATGAAGACTATGTGGACCAGCATTATAAAGAATTCCTCAAGAACCAGGGCAAAGTGGACTCGGTGAGACTTGTAGTTATCAGGAGGTGGAACTCATGGAGAAGCGCAAGAAATCCTCTCTTTCATCTCCCTCTCATGTCAGCTCTCTCCTTTGTAACTGTCACTTGACCCACAGCTGGTAGGTGTGGATGTGGTGGCTGCTTTGGACCTGTACGTGGAGCAGGGCCAGTGGGAAAAGTGTATTGAAACAGCCACCAAGCAGGTACTGTTCCCTTCCCCTCCAGCTCCTCTGGGCACCTTCCCCGACGCCCTCCCTGCCCTCCCTGCTGCAGAGCTTCAGCTCTTTCTCTAAACCCAAGCCCAACCCCAGCCCCGGGGTGCATCAGAGAGCTCAGTCTTCCGCATTCTGAAGTTGCAGGCAGCTGCCCAGCCGGGCCTGCTCTGTCTGTCCCTTTGCCTCCCAGCAAGTCCGTGGCTCCAAGTCACCATCTCACCCCAGTGCCTGGCCTTACTGACCCCAGCCTCCCCCGTGCTTTGCCTCATGTCCCGGGCAGAACTACAAGATTCTACACAAGTATGTGGCTTTGTATGCGACTCACCTGATCCGAGAGGGTGGCTGTGCCCAGGCACTGGCCCTGTATGTGCAACATGGAGCTCCTGCCAACCCACAGGTACCAGCCTGCTCATTGGGGTGAATGTTTCCTCAGGGAAATTTTGCCTTCTTTTTGAGAACTACCCATCCTCTCGGGAACTGTCTTCTGCAAGCATTCTTTTTAGAGAGCACCATGTCTTAAGACCCTGCCCAGCCTCCTGTGAAGGGTGCAGGCTCACCAGAGGACTTAACCTCTGCAGAAAGAAATACCCAGCAACCCCCTGTGCTTTTAGCTAATACCCAGGAGACAGCCTTTCAGAGATGAGCCCTCCATACTCCTCTAGAGCCTTTTTAACTCCCTCCAGAGAAGAGACATCACTCTCCTAGCTGAGCATCAAGCTCTCTGGAAGACAAGCCTGTGACCACCATGACTGCATCACATTTACCCACACTCACAAAGTACTTGGCATAAGGTTCCTTTCTTCTTTCTCTTCCCTAAGAAGAACCACTTCGTCCATCATCGTCCTCTGGCTTCTCTGCACACACATTGACAGCCTGTTTCCCTCTGCGGCCCCACTTCCACTGACATTCTCTTCGAGTTGTCCTCTCAGCTCTCCTTTCCTTTCTACCTCCAGAACTTCAACATCTACAAAAGGATCTTCACTGACATGGTGAGCTCCCCTGGGACCAACAGTGCCGAGGCCTACCACAGCTGGGCTGATCTTCGGGACGTCCTCTTCAACCTGGTGAGGACGTCAGGTGGCCCAGAGTGAAAGCTTCTCTGTCTGCCCCAGGCCTTATCTCTTCTTTCACACGCATTAACCTTCACCCTCAAATGCACCATCCTTCCTCTGTGCAGGTTGCAGTTCACCACACTGTGCCCTGGCACTCCCCTGACCCAGACTGTGCTCTCTTCCTGCTCTAGTGTGAAAACCTGGTGAAGTCCAGTGAGGCAAACTCCCTCGCCCATGAGGAGTTCGAGACGATGCTGCTGATTGCTCATTACTATGCCACTCGCTCTGCGGCTCAGAGTGTCAAACAGCTGGTGAGACAATGCTGGAAGGTCACAGAGGCTTCAGGCTTCAGATTCTCAAGCTTGGCCCACTTGTCACCTAGCTTTTATATTGTCAGATACATGTTTAATTAACCTCTGCTGTGATGGCTGTTGTCCTGCATTCCTTTGACCTTCTGCCCATCCAAATTGCATTTCTACTGATTCCTGTGTTGTTTATTTTTCTACATATCTTTGCTTTCTTTGTGACAATATAATGTATATTTATTTCATGTACTTGAACGGTAAAATTCTAGAACTGAAAGGAAGCTTAGAAATAATACAGACCTAGAGCTCCAGTGCAGATGAAAAAACTAGCACTCAGAACTGCTTGAGATACAGAGTAGTTTCATATTGTCAGGTAACTGCTTATGCAGCTGCCTCGGTCGTGTGCTCACCACCTGTGCTCGGACACCGTTGTACAGGGTAGTCATGCTTCGACTTTGCTCCACAGGAAACGGTGGCCGCCAGGCTTTCTGTTTCACTCTTGCGTCACACTCAGCTACTACCTGCAGACAAGGCCTTCTACGAAGCAGGCATTGCTGCCAAGGTGAGCTGCCAAAATGGGTGGGCTGCGGTGAGGAAGTCAGAAGTTGGAAGATAGAGCCATCAGCTCAGGGGCTGATGGAAAAGATAACATTTTCCTTTATCTTCCTGAACTCTTCCTGCTACTTTGTGCAGAAGCAGCATCCATGCCCAGTGTTCACTCCCACTAGCAACTTTTCTCTCTTGCAGGCAGTTGGCTGGGAAAACATGGCTTTCATCTTCCTCAACCGTTTCCTGGACCTGACTGACGTAAGTAGGGAAGTTGTGCCCAGGAAGTTGAGAGGTTTTGCTGTGACAGTTGCCCGTCTCACAACTACCCACTCTGCCACAGGCAATCGAAGAGGGGACACTGGATGCCCTTGACCACTCTGACTTTCAGGATACAGACATCCCCTTTGAGGTGCCGCTCCCAGACAAGCAACACATACCGGTAAGGGCAGAGGACTGAAATCGGTAGAATTTACTGTGTGGGTGCGTTGAGCAGCAAAGACATTTTTAGTTGGGCACCTTAACTTTGTAATGGGCATTAGTCAGCGATATCTTTGTGCTGCCATCTTTGGAAGGGCCTCAGTCCTCACTATTCCTTCAGTGAAAGTAGAAGCAGAGGCAAAAGCTAAGACTGTGATTGTAATTGCCAACCCAGGAAGGACCTTTTGTGAGTGAAAGGTGACGTGCAGGAGGGAGTGCTGAGGCCGCCCTTTCAGTCCTCACCTACGTGCCCTGCCCTGTATGAATCTACTGCTCTCATCCTTCCCAGGAGGCTCAGAGAGAAGAGGTTCGAGACTGGGTACTCACAGTTTCCATGGACCAGCGGCTGGAGCAGGTTCTGCCTCGGGACGAGCGGGGCGCCTATGAGGCCTCCCTGGTGGCAGCAAGCACTGGCGTTCGGGCACTGCCCTGCCTCATTACAGGTACAGCACCCAGCAACACCTCATGTTCCGTGTAGGTGGGAAGGAGGAAAAAGCAACAGCGTCAGAAAATTATTTTATTGATTCAGTCAAGCGTGCAGAAGACAAGAACCTCTTACTGTCTTCATTTCCTCTCCTCAGTCCTCAAACCCCAGTTCATCCCTTTTCTTCCCCTACAGGATACCCCATTCTAAGGAACAAAATTGAATTTAAGCGGCCGGGGAGGGCAGCTAACAAGGACAACTGGAATAAGTTCCTTATGGCTATCAAGGTTAGAGGGGAGACTTGAAGGACGGGGGCAGGGAGAGCAGCACTGAGAACAACGAATGCCAGGCTGGTGTGAGGGGATGTTAAAAAGCCAGCGCTGCTCCCCGTGGACTGAGATGGAGTGAGATTGACGACAGCAGCATGTTTTTTCTTTTTTGTAACCCTCTCCTGTTTTCTGTTTGCTCACAGACCTCCCACAGCCCTATGTGCCAGGATGTACTGAAGTTCATCAGTCAGTGGTGTGGAGGCCTACCCAGCACCAGCTTTTCCTTTCAGTGACTGGGGAAGTGCAGGGAAGTTTTCAGCTTCCTCATTAAAGCCTTGTAAGTCATTGAGCCCACTGTATTCTTTGATCACAGTTACCCCCACACAACGCAGGCCTTTTCCCCCAAAAGAAATCATTCTCAAGTAGAAAAAAGTTATTTTATTTCAGTTATTTAGTTCATCTTAAAGTGAAAACCCTGTGGCTGAGCACCTGCCACAGGGTCAACACCTGCTCGGTACACGAGAAAGCCCAGGTTACAAGGCAAGTAGCCAGAAGCAAAGGACCAGACCCAGTTCGAAAAGCAGTTTGCCACCCTCACCCTTTTCCAGGCCACAAGCCTCATGGCACAACCTGTCCTACGCCAAGCTTTTCTGTGGTGGCTGAATTTCTTGATTTTGATCCAATAGCTGCTCATTCTCCTGCCCTTTACATTTAGGAAGCTCAAGCTCCGTCAGTTCCTCCAGCTGCAGAAGAAGGTGTAGTTAGTGCTCTGGCCCCAAACTGTGGTTTAGATCTTTTCAGCACAGCCCAGCTGCGTGAAGTGCACCTCACCTGTTCCTGCAGCCGTTCCTTCTTGCAGGGCCCAACCCCACGAAGGGTGAGTGCAGCCACACAGCAGTAACCAGACAGGACAGCCTCTACTGCCGACATGAGCATAGAAGGAATCCAGAGAGCCAAGGCCGTGTCCTGAAAGGCAAAGAGGAAGGGTGGGGGACTCTCGGGGCACAGCAGGCAAGGCCAGTGGGTGAGTTTAAAAGATGCGGGGTTTTGTGGACCGCAAAAAGACTGAGAAAAGGAAGCACTCACATAGATTCTTGTGGGGTCAAAGGGGCAGTCAGCCCGTCCAGGTCCCTCGTCCAGGGGTAGCAAAGGATCGAGCACTCCTGGATGGCAGTCAGCAATCAGACGCCGGCCACCATTTGCCACAGTGAGCGACACAGCGAGGAGGAGGCCCAGGGAGCAGGCAGCGGACAAAAGCAGGTTCACCAGAGCTACGGCCAGCAAGGCCCAGTGCTGACCGGGGCAAAAGATAAAAGGTGAGCATCGCCTGCGGGTGGCTGACTCTCCCAGACTGTATGCCTCGGTTTTTCTAATTGTTTCTTCTTCCCGTTTAAAGCAGCAAAGTGAGCCCCATTTCCCTGACTCTAGACTTCCTCATTAAACTTCCAAAATCCCGTCTCACCAGTTGAGGGCGTAGGAGGTTCCTGGATGCCAAGAGGGCCACCAGTCCCACGGAAACACTCTGGAAGACAAAGCTTAAGGCCTGCGGCTCTCCGCGCCCCGCTCGCGGCCCCGCCCCGCCCCGCCCCGCCCCCAGCGCTCACCAACAGCCCCGAGCCCACGGAGATGACATTGGCCGTGGTGTACTCCGGGGTGACAGCGCCGCGGGGATTGGCCACGTGCCGCAGGACGGTGCCGTGCAGCACGGCCCCCAGCAGCAGGTTCAAGTGGCCCACCAGTATTAGCGCAAGGCCCACGCGCATGAGCCGCCGCGGGCCCCTGGCCGCGTCTGCAAAGCACGGGGGAGGGGCAGGCCTGAGCTGGGGGAGGCACCCGGAGGCCCCTAGCGGCCGCCCCAAGTTAACCGGGGGGTATAGAACTGGCCGAGACAGGCGCGGGGACCGAGACCCTCGGGGCCGGAAGTTACCAAATCGGCAGAGACGGCAGCTCCTCATCCCGTCCCGGCGCGCCCGGCCGCCGCCCGGCAGCTCTACCTGGCCCCGCCCCCGCCCCGCCCCGCCCCGCCCCACGGCCAGTTCCGCGATCACCACCTGCAGGCCCAACCTCCGCGCCCCCAACGGGGCGCCCGGCCGCTCCCCCTAGCGGGGAAAAGGTGCAAACACCACACGTTTAGCAAAAAGTAGACTTTTATTACAGCAGCAACTGAGGCGAATCCAATGGCCCCCCCAGGGCCACCACTGCAGCACCACCCTTCTCCCGCCTGTCCCGGGATTGTAGAATTCTGCTCCCACATTGCCCGCGGGCTCCTTTCCACACAGGCAGGGCGGGAACCGGCAGTCAGCTACTAGCCCCCAACTAGAAGGCGGCTGCTGAAAAGGCCCAGGCCCATGTCTGTGCAAAACAAGTAAACAAAGTGCAGAGGGGAGGAAGGGGTGGGGGAAGGGGCCGGTGATGCTCAGAACCAGGGAGCCCCAAGCTCTCCAGAATAATGAAGGAGAGAAGGGGCTTCACAGGGTAATACTGACTGGGGGGAAAGGGCAGGAAAGCTGTAGCACTTCTAGTGACAGCCACAGCTCAGATCAGGGGCCTGGCCCGAGTGAGCTCTAAGAGGAGACGGTGACAGCGGCTGAATTGAGGCTGTTCCTGGCAAAATTGAACTTGTTCAGGGTCTCCTCCAGCAGGGAAGTCAGTCGGCTCTGGTCAGCCTAGGGGAGAAGAGCTCAGTGAGACGGGCTGAGGAGACACACATAGGCACAGGGCAGCTGAAGGCAGAGACCTTACCTCGCTAATGAAGCCCAGCTGGACCAGCTCAGCTGCCAACTCAGGGATGTTCTCATCTGACAGAGAAACAGGAGAGGGTGAGCACAGTGCGGGACTGAGGGGCTTCAAACAGCCCATTCAGGTTGCCCTGGCTGGGAAAGAATGATAACGGTGAAATTGCCAGATCTGCCCTCCATTTATAGGGGTTAAGATACTCGTTCCATGAGTCAATGCGCTAACTGCCTTGTCACCTTCCCCACCCCTGAATATGTCCCTCACAGATAAGGTTCACAGACTCTCCATCCTCTGAGGGAAAAGAGAGACTCACTTGGCATCAGGTCACAGCTCAGGTGCCGGTTCAGTTTGTCCTCCAGCTTCAGCAGAAGCGTCAGCTGGAGAATAGGACAGTCAGAAATGATCTCATCCCCCGCCCCCACCACCCAGCCCTATGCAAAGCTGGTCCTGAGCCTTACATGGTGTTTGACTCCTTCCTCCACCGACTCAATGTTGCACTGCATCAGCACCACCTAAGGGGAGGGAGTGTAAAGGGACAGAAGAGTAGAAGCAAGTCAGTAAAAAACCCCAAGAAGCCTTTGCAGTCTGCAAGACATGGTTGCCAGAGAGCAGAATGCATCCTCTCTAAAAGACAAAGCCTTATTTGAGGCGTCCATTTTCCCTCTTTCCCTCCCACCATGACCCCAGAGTCACCCACACCCAGTGTCGCACCTTGCGGGTCTCCACCTCAGCTGGTTCAGGTGTTGGAGTCTTGACAGAGGGGGGCACCACAGGAGATGTCACCTCCTCCTGCTGTGGCTGCTGATGCCGAGGCAGCCCAAAGGCTGTCAGGGGATAGATCCCATTCCTGGAGGGAGATTAGAAAGGTCATCTGGGCTCTGCAGATACCAGAGGACACCCACTCCCACTTCCCAAAGGAAGCCTTTCTTCTCACTTCTCTCACCTGACATCTTCAAGGAATTTATCCAGTTCCAGAGCTGGTGACTGAGAGTACCTGGAGGAGACGAGAGAAAGAAGATGGATGGAAGGAAGGATCCAATCATTCGCAGAGAGAGAAAGCTGACATGACCCTCAGGGTGGTAGTGACCTGTCCCTTTCAGGCTTTCTCAATTACTCACAAAGTCTGAACTGGATCTCTTCCTGGTCCTGCAGGGATTTCAGCCAGGACGGCACTGGTATCCATGTTTTTGGTGATCTCCTCTAGAGCATTCTCTGGGATCATGTCTGTATAAATAAGAATTTGTGGAGGGATGTTCAGACAAGGGTCCTACAGTATAAAAAATCCCTTTGCAAGTAGAAGAGGAAAGAGAGCATGTTAGTGAGTTACAAGATTCCAAACTGGAAGAAAATTCCTAGGAGGTGTCAAACAGACTTACGTTGGTGTCCCACGATGCAATGGGCAGCAAGAAGTTTGAGCGAGGGCACTTCAAACAGTGCAGGGTGGAACAGAAGTTCTCTGGCTGTTGGTCTTTGAGCAGGCTCAGACTGCAGGCACTTCTGAATGAACTCCTGGACAAAGGAACAGGGAGGTGGAGCAGGTATCTGGCAAGCAGCCCACTGTGTTCACACTGTAGCTCTCCTATACTCAGCACAGGCTCAGCACTGGGGAAGGGACACACTGACAAGTGAATTTTAAAGACTGAAAAATATATAAAATGTTATCATTCATTTATCATCTGACTTTAATCACTTTTCTGCTCTCAAGCCACAAGCTTTCTTTCCTTAACCATTCAAATTTATTTTTTCTTTTTTATTTCCTTTTTCCTTATCTCTGCTGTATTAGCTCACTAACTGACTGCCTACCTTCTTCTCTAACCCTCACCAACTTTACCTTCTCTCTTCCCAAACTTATCTATTGTGGTTGGTAATGTACCATCTTTTTATTTTCCAAGCCTAGTACAATTTTCTTTGTTCACTATAAACATTTACTAAAATCACTGGATTTCCCCATGCTTCTTCTCAACATGCCCTTCTCCACCTCCCATAGATTCCTTGACAATTAACCTGCTTTCCTCTTTTCAGTCTTGAAGGCTAACAAGGTCAGATACTAAGTATTTCACTTGACCACCACACCTTGTCACTAAACTAGACACTATTTCACATTAGCCAAGAGTTCCCACTAGTCCTCCCTTCTACACTTGGACCTTCCAGTCTAGCCTCTACTGACTGTAGTTCAGCTAATGAGTCATAACCCTTATGAGCTCATTATTTCAGGGCACTTTCCCTAGCTAAGCTGTATAAATATAAAACCCCAAATGACTGGATTGATTAATTCAAACTGATGACTTGGTTTAAAAATATCAAGGTGGCTGAGGATTTATTATCAATATGTAAGGTAACCATCAAATTAGTTTCTCCATACAGACACACCTAACACATAACCTTTCACCCTGATATTACCCATCTTAAATGCCGAGCCTGTGTGTCACATAGGGAATGTTCATTACTTTTGCTTATCCTTTCTGCTTTATATTCTCTTGCTCTTAGAATAAAACCAGAAGACAATCCAAAGTCTGTAAGGAGGGAGTGACCCTGAAGCTTACCCTCTGTAATGGGTCTTCTAGAAGCTGGATGGAGCTGCTGATCGCTTCCTGTGGCACATATGAGGACTCTCCATTGCCCTGAATCTCTAGCACTGCCATCTGAAGTGACAGAGTAAAAAGGAAAAGTAGAGACCTAAGAACCTCTGTGCTCCCAGCCATCACTCCCTTGTCCTTCCCTCTACCTCCTCTTCCCGTCTTCTAATTTCAGTCCTTTCCACCACACCCCTTCTGATCGCCTCACCTCCAGTGCACACATGCCAAAAGAGTAGATGTCCACTGCCGTTGTCACGTTAGTGACTTCTAGGGAGAAAGAAAAGGCTTTGGTGAATCAGAGAACGGGGGTGGAGAAACATCTTAAAAAAAAAACACTTCTTGTATGCCAGTAAAGAAGGACCAAATGTTTCAATTATGTTACCTCTTCTAAGGTTTAAGGTTCTAAGGTGGGGAACCTGGGAGGTGGAGACAGGGCAGAGAAAGTGGACACCTTACCTCCATACTCTGGTGCAAAGAAGTGTAGATTTTTCTGCTCTTCCCGACATGTCTTCACATGATTGTTGATAGTGTCAGGAGCCACTGAGAGTAGGGGAGATACCCACAATCTGACCACCATCAACAAAGCATAGTCTCACTCCAGAGAGAAGCCCCCAAAGCCACTTTCTTTCCTGAATTCTCTCACCCTCAACTGGCATGAACCTATCCCATTCCCATCATGAGCTACAGACTAAACAAAAACACTACATACCTCTCCTCTCTTGAGGTGACTCCTTCTCACTTAAAGTCCCTAATTCAGTGGCAACAAATGCAGTACAGTAAACTAAAGCAAACCAGGTCTCTGAACTGGTCAAGGAGCAATGCAGGCTAAGGAAAAATTTTTGTGACTTGTTCACCCGTCTCAAAGCTCAGCTATATCCAATTCATGAGCACATGGAAATATTTGTTCTAGTTCTTTGATCAACCCTGCAAAGAGCATAAAAACACAGGCAGCCCTTCCTAATCTGGGACAATCAGCCATCTAAGAATCCTGGAACCAAGTAGACAGCCTCCTCCTCGTCAACCTTTGCTTACTGAAATTCAGTAATGGTTCAATACCCTTGAATCAGTTTTAATTTTAATCCAACACAATTTTTTGATCCCTGTTCTACCCCATTATATCTCAACATTGCCTGCCACAGGGCTGAAAGAGGAACCAGAGCCAGGCCCAATTTGGAGTCACTTGGATCATAAACGACGACTACAAGTCACAGAGAGTCTGGGAGCACAGTATGATTTAGGGAACCAGCCTGATGATGAGGGAAGTAAGAATCCAGGACGTACGCAGCCAGCCAGGCAGAATCCACAGAAAACAAGCACGTTATGGAGGAGCAAGCAGGCAGAAGGCTGGTAGGGCAAAAGCCAGGCAGGCATAATTAGGCAGGGGAGGTAGGGGAACAGGGTTTGCTCCCACGACTGCATGCACTGGGCAGCCGCAACGGGGAGCAGGAGGAGCACAAACAGAGCCCCGAGTGGGGCAGAGGGGGCTCTCACCATTAGCAAAAATCCTATGAAAGACTGTTGGGAACAGAGCAGCCCGTAAGCGGGAGGGAGGAAAACAGAGAAAAGTTGTGAGCGATGGAGCAGCCAAGCCCCAGACAAATGGACACACAAACAACACAGACACAGCATACGGAATGTTACGTACACTGCACACAGCTACACAGCAAATGAAAGCACTCACAGCAGGCACAGCCTGGAACCTCCTTTGGTATGGTGTGGCCCTAGGGGTTCAAGTCAGACTTTGCCCTTTTCTAACAGATTAACATTTCTTTATAAACTCCAGTTTCCCTCCAAAAAGTATTAAGGGCCTACCCCCTCTCCACTAATTGGCCATTCCCTGAGAATTACCCTAGCAAGGTTCCTTCTCTAATCACCAGCCCACGGTTCAGATTTTCACTCTGTTCTCCCCCATTCCTTTTATCTTACCCCCGTGGTTCCCAATTCCCGAGGCTCCCCTGCCCAGAACCTCTCCCTCCCCTCACCAGAGCCAATCTTGATGAGTCCGTTGTGCTGGATGAAGATGGTGTCACAGGTCAGGTTCCCATGGATGATGGGGGGGTCACAGGAGTGCAGATAGCTGTGGGGGCACTGGGCTGTTAGAGGGGCCACTGGGAAATTAAGGGCGGGGGAACCCAAGGGTTAAGAGGAGCAAGGGCCAGTCTCCTGCTGGTCACCACAAAAATAATCCCCACACTCTGAATCTCCATTATGCCAGATGAGTTAAATAGCTGGATAAGCACTAGGAGAAAGAAGTGGGAGATAGTATTGTGACTAGGGCATAAGGGCGGATCCTTTATTAAGATCCGCAGGGGCCTAATCTTGACAACTGATGGCCCAAGAATGGGGAGAGGCAGAAAAGAACGGCAGAGTGGTGCTCTGAAATCTGCTTGGAGGAACTAAATCAGGAAATATGGGAAAGACACTAACCAGAACCTACTTACCTTAGGGCAGAGAGAATTTGTGTACACCAGCGTTTCCAAGCCTGGAACAGAGTTTGATCAAAGGGTCAGCAGTAATCCCCTCTCTTAAGCCTCCAACCACTTCCCTCTATCCCTTCCTAGCTAACTTCATAATTTTTTCCAACCCCCAAACCAGTCTTAAATCTTTCCTGTTCTCTCTATACCTTTTCATTCATAGTCTTGTGATTCTTTTTTGTCTTCTTCAGGAATTGCTTAAGACTCCCAGAAGACATGTATTCAGTGATAAAAATGACCTAGAAGACAAAAAGCGTACCAGTAAGCCTTATAGTATATATTTGTCACCCCCACCTGGTGACAGATACACAAGATGTAAGTATTGATTTTAGAAGCTTAGGGATTTTTTTTTTTTTTAAAGATTTATTTATTTATTCATACAGAACTGGGGTACAGGCCAGAGGCTCAGGGGCAGTGAGAGGCTTCACCAGAGACAGAGTGGGGAGCAGAACAGGCAGATCGACGAAGTACACTGCTGAGGGGAGCAGCGGGCGGGTCAGGAGAGGTCTGGCTCGCCATGTGGTCTCCTCCGGGGCAGGCGGCAGGCGGGAATCGAACTCATACGGAAGTGGCTTCAGATTCTCAGTGCTGTGCTTTAACCCGCTGCGCCACCAGGGAGGGCCGAAGCTTAGGGATTTTTAAGGGCCTCACCTTTCATTCTTTTTGGATTTATATAAGAGTTGGGGTACAGGCCAGAGGTAGGAGGGGAGGAGGTAAGAGGATTCACCACAGAGCAGGGAACAGAACAGGTGATCTACTGAAATACATTGCTGAGAGGAGCAATGGGCAAGAAAGGAGAGGTCTGCCGCATCATATGGGTCAGCTCCTTGGCCGGGGATTGAACTTGTGCTACAGTGGCTGCAGACAGCTTGATAGTGCTGAGACTTAACCCCTGTGCCACCAGGGGGAGGCCCTCTCTCCTTTCATTCTTAATATCAATTCCTCTGATTTAGTAAACAATGAAAACTATTAGCAATCAGAGCGATGAAAGAAAAAAAGAAAAGTTGGTTCATTTTAGCTGCAGCTATAATCAGATGAAAGGCATGGGTGCTAGTCAAAGTCCTATTGTCATTTCCACAGCTCTAACTCCAGAGCTGTTTCAATATCACCTTTGTTTTAGTCAATGAATGTAAAAGAAACAATAAACATAGCTAGTGCCTGCAGTAAGCTCAGGAAAAAGTTCTTACCCTCGCCTTGTTTTCTTTAATGTCAGCCCAATACTTGTGAAACTTAACAATGTTGAGATGCTCCAACTGAATCAGATTATCAAACACAGCACGGACTTTTTCCTGGGAGCAAAAGAGACAGTGGGATAACAGAATGAGAAATCACTATAATCCTGAAAAGCCGTTCCCTATTTCTCCCCAGAAATGATCTAACCCCTACATAGTGTCCTAGCTGTCAGCTTCCCAACACTTAACTCCTTTTTTAACACCAGAGTTCTAATATCTCACAGGCCACATTCTTTCACCATTACCTACCTCCTGCAGCTTGTAGTTCTTTCGCTCTGAGAACTGTACCTCATTCCACACAACCTCTACACCCTCCTCTGTATCCATGGCCAGGTATGCACTGTCAATACCTGGTACATTCCGCTGATTCACCTGAGAAGAAATTAAAATGAAAGGGAACTATAGTTACCGCATGAACCCTCCACATGCTCTCTGAGGCACCAACCTGTTGTTTGTTCTGTCCCTTCTAGACTCTGTCCCTCCACTTCTCTCTTAGAATTCTCTCTCAAGAACAACACTACCACTACCTTACCTCTTCTCGTCTTTTCTGCCAGCGCCCACAGGGTGACTCTTCCAAGATCTCAGACTCATCTTCACTTTCTTCTTCTTCCTCTGGGGAAGGAGCTGAGTTCGTGGAGGTCAGGGGAGGAGACGCTGATGTCAGGCCAGGAGCTGAGGATGAGGATTCTACCTTTGGGTCAGAGCCACTGCTGAGTACTGTCTGGGACTCCCCTTCAGACATGCTGGAATGAACGCTCAGGCCTGTATTAATTGGGGCAAGATGAAGGGAAAAGGCAGAGTGTCAGGGCAGAACTGTAACATGTTAATCCTAATAACCTCCTCTGGGTCAAAAGGAAAATAAAGCATATCACACCATAAGTTCCCTTTAAATCCAAATTCTGTAGTCCTATTTGAATGTGGAAATATTAACTACTGTCCCTGTTTAGAGAAAGGGCGCTATCTTGAAGCTGATCCACCCAGCAATGGCAAACACAAGATTTATAGCAGTAAACACCTCCCTCCCTGAGTAAGGTTCAAAATTAATAGCAAAATCTGGGGCCCATTCCTTGTTAGTAAACACCCATCACAGACTTCCCTGAGCCCCCTGTACCCTCTTTGCACTGTGCTCAAGAGCTAAGCTACATGGATAGTAAGCTACAGAGGCAGAACAGATGACTCCAAACCCCAAAATGTTCCTCTAACCAAGCCCCTAAACTAGATCTGTAGCTACCTTTAGCCGATTTAACTAGCTGAAACCCTCAGCTAATTTATCCCACCACAACTAACCTTGGCATTCACTTTCCATCCCGGCTCTACAGAGAATGAGTCTGCCAGTCCATGGTGAGGCAACCCTTAGAGCAGGTGACTGGCAATGATCAGTGATGTCATCTCTGATGACCTCACTTTCCCTGTGATGTGAGTGTGGCATATGGGTAGTGGTTAACATTTTTTTCTCATTCACTCATTCACAAATGTTTGTTAAGTACTTGCTGTGGGCCAAGCCCTAGGTGAGGTACATGAGATACACCAGTGAACAAATTAAATGAGATACCCACACTCATGGATCCACAAGTTTAAGATAAATCTAAGACCTTAAGCGTCCAGCTCTTATTTCATTCACTTGGCTCAGACGGTGCCATGGGGGGGGGGCGGGGGGCGGGGCACGGGATCTGGCTTAGGAATTCCTTCTCAAGTACAAATAACTCAAGCTACAGCCACAAGAAAAGGTACTGTATGGCATAACATTTTTTTTCCCCAGGCACTTGGCAACCTAAAGATAAAGAATTCTCAAAACCTAAGTGTCACTAATCTGTCGGGATAGTCACAGTACAACCACTGAAGTTATTCCGCAGCTCCGGGAACAAAAGCTGCGAGCGAGATGGAACCTCGGGGCCCGGGGCCCTGGGCGAGCTCTCTCGACGTCCGGCAAGTAAAGCCCTCTCGTATTTTCGGCTCTCAGGTGCCATCTTTGCCCCCAACCTACACTTTATTTAACCCAAGTCAGCAGCCATTCACAGCCACAGGGAATCGTCTCGCGGCCCTGCGCGCACTTCTCACTAACGCAGACCGCTCGTTCTGCAAAGTTTTCCTCTGAGACTTTCATTTACTGGCGCGCAGCCCCTCTGCGTGTGGACGCCTCGGCCACCGCGCGCAGGCCA